GATCCACTTCTCCAGAGACTTTATATTCCAGGTAATTTATACCTCATATTATCACAAATATAAAAACGGACCCAAATATCTGTTTACTTTTACTTTTATCCTCTTCGAAAAAAATTAAGAAGAAAACCCAGAAATTCAAGACGTGGGTTGGGTCAAACGATGAGCAAGACAGGAGGATGTATGCAAGAGCCAGAAACCAAGCAAAGATAGAGTGTAGAAGGGCGGAAAAGGAGTTCCAGAGGCTGGTTGCAAGCGAGGTCAAGTCAAACCCAAAGGCGTTTTACCGCTATGCAAAGTCGAAATTCAAAACGCCAGTAGGAGTATCAGACCTGAGGCTGGTGGAAGGTAGTTACGCAGATTCTGACCAGGATAAAGCTGAGGCATTGAACAGCTTCTTTCCTTGGTGTTCACAAGAGAGGATGCAACTAACCTTCCTGCGTTTGAGGACAGACGGTTCGACACAGCACTGACCCACATTGTGTTCAGAGAAGAGGGTATTAGAAATAAACTGTCCAGGCTAAAGGTCCATAAGAGTCCCGGCCCTGACATGGTGCATCCTAGAGTGCTAAGAGAGTTGTGAAACGAGCTTGCAGAGCCCCTGAAGATCCTGTTTCGTAAATGCCTGGATGAACAAATGCCCAGTGAATGGAAAGTGGCTTATGTGAGTCCTTTCGTCAAGAAGGGTGATTGTCACTCCACGAACAACTATAGACCGGTGAGCCTGACCAGTATAATATGTAAAGTACTTGAGAGTATTATCAGAGATGCTGCAATGGAACATCTAATACGAAACAACCTTGTAAAACATTGCCAACACGGTTTTATGCCGGGGCGCTCCTGCTTAACATAATTGCTCAAGGCATTGGATATTTGTACCCATATTCTGGAACGGGGTAGTAATATCGACAATATTTACCTAGATTGTGCCAAGGCTTTCGACTGTGTACCCCACGAAACGCTGAAAATCAAACTGGAACGGTACGGAATTCGGGGAAATGTCCTAACGTGGATAGAAGACTTTCTACATGACCGCAAGCAGTGTGTGGTGATTAATGGCAAGAAATCGTCATCTGTACCTGTCACAAGTGGGGTACCACAGAGCAGTGTATTGGGCCCGCTGTTGTTTGTTTGTTTCATAAATGACATGCCTGACGTTGTACACTCCTCCATACAAATGTTTGCCGATGACGCCAAGTTATTTCGGGAAATTAAGAACCAAGCGAACTGTGAAGAGCTGCAGAAGGACCTCTGTGGGCTCCAGGAATGGTCGAAGAAATGGCTTCTGAGATTCAATGTCACGAAGTGTAAGAGGATGCACCTGGGGCGTACCACCGGTAAGGAGGCGTATCATATGTCCCAACGGGATGAAGAAACTGCACTAGTTGAGACTGTGTGTGAGAAGGACCTAGGTGTGTATGTTGACAATGAGCTGAAGTTCTCGGGCCATTGCGAGAAGAAGGTAAATCAGGTAAATAAATTATTGGTTCTTATAAGAAGGTCGTTCAGATATCTAGACGGTCCGCCCTTAGTAACGATCTTCAAGAGTCAAGTGCTTCCCCATCTGGAGTACTGCCACCCCGTCTGATCCCCGAGATATGCTAGGGAATGTCAGTTGGTTGAAAATGTTCAAAGGAGGGCCGCCAGACTGATGCCTGCACTTCGGCACCTCAGCTACCCTGAGAGATTGGAGCGCCTGAACTTGCCTAGCTTATACTACAGACGGGCAAGGGGGAACCAAGTTGAGGTGTATAAGCATCTCAGGGGGCACTACTCAGCTGAGTGTCCTTACTTGGAGCTGGCGGACGCTCGCCCCACAAGGGGTCACAGCTCAAGATTGAAGAAACCGCAAGTCCAGAAAACTGTAAGGGCAAACTTTTTCGGAGTGAGGGCTGTAAACTCTTGGAACAATATACCAGAGAGTTTTGTGACGGCACCGAGTGTGAGCTCTTTCAAGACAAGACTTGACCAACACTGGAGCGGGTTCAGGTACATTCAGGAGCCGGTGCATGCCCAGTATATTCCAACAGTGCGTGACAGAGACGTGACCGATCGCCCGGGCGGCTAGCGAGCCGATGTTTTGGTGAAGAAGATAAATGAAAAGGAAAAGTAATGAGAGACGTGACCGATCGCCCAAGCGGCTAACAAGCCGATCAGTGGCGAAGAGGATAGAAGTAAAAGTAAAAGTAATGATAGGCTTGTTAGCCTCTTGGGCGGTCGGTCACGTCTCCGTTACGCACTGTTGGCAAGTACTGGGCATGCACCGGCTCCTGAATGTACCTGAACCTGTCCAGTGTTGGTCAAGTCTGGACTTGAAAGAGCATACGCTCGGTGCCGTCACAACACTTTCTGGTAGATTGTTCCAAGAGTTCACAACTCTCACTCTGAAAAAGTTTGCCCTCACAGTTTTCTGGACTTTATATATATATATATATATATATATATATATATATATATATATATATATATATATATATATATATATATATATATATATATATATATATATATATATATATATATATATAAACGCCTTGGTTAAGGACGTTCAGGTGACGGGCAAGTCGAAGGGAATGATTGAAACCCGCCTTTTGACGCATTCAATATTTAGTGATGTGGTCAAAACCTGCAGAGAACAAGGCGTTCATTAGTATTACATGGTGATCTATCTGATACATAATTAGTTAGTCTCACACGATTTCATCTTAATTACAATCGATTATTTAGCATAGTGACATGATGACATGATACAAAGTTCATAACTCTATTAATCTTAGTTACACTTCATTCTGCATTGTCTTATTGCTCCAGATAAGGCTTGGGGGTTTAGGGGAAAGTTTCGTCGCGGCCCTCGACATCTCCAAAGCATTTGACAGGGCATGGTACAATTCTTTGCTTTTTGAACTTCTCTCTTATGGTTTCTCTCCTCCACTTTACTCTCTAATTTCTAGCTTCCTTGAGAACCGATCCATGGCAGTTGTTGTCGAGGGATCGATCTCTAGCTCTTTCTCTACCAATAGTGGTGTCCCTCGGGGTTTTGTTCTTTCACCTACTCTCTTTCTTCTTTTAATCCGTGATTTACTTCACACTATGATCAGTTCTACCCATCTTACGCTGACGATTCTACTCTTCACTGTTCTTCACGTTTTTCCTTTTCCCCTTAATTCTCAAACTAGATTTGTTTTTAAAGCTGATATCATTTCATCTATCAATGCGGATCTGTGTGCAGCATCTCCGAATGGGCAGGTAAAAACTTGGTTTAATTCAATAGTAATAAAACACAGTATTTACCATTTACACTTTCCAAAATAGATCTCCCACCAGTCACATTTCAAGACGCAATCATTCTGCCAAATTCTAAAATAGATAGTAAGCTAGGCCTCACCATTTCTTCTAATATGTCACGGGAGCCACTCATCCACAACACTGCTAAAGCTGCCTCCCGAAAGCTGGGAAATGCTGTACAGATGCCGTAGCTACTTCACTCCTGAACAGTTGCTTCAAGTTTCCTAACTTGGAGTACTGCTCTTCTATCTGGGTGACTCTTCTGTCCAACTGTTAGATACGGTGGAATGAAAGGCATTTCGTCTTATTAACTTTCCTTTTTCAGTTGATAATCTCTTCTCTTTCTCTTCGCCGCAATGTTACTTCACTCTCTCTCTTTTACAGGTACTTTAACGGGCAACGTTCGGTGGATTTGGCATCCTGCGTACCGCCGGCAAGGCCGTGGGCTTGTAACACTCGTCTTGCCCGTGGTGCCCATCATCTGTGTGTGGATGTCGGTGGAATGCTTTGCCTTCTGTGTTTGCATACCCTTACAATCTGTCTCACTTCAAAAAGATGGTTTTCCGGCATCTTCGTGATGTAGCTTAATATTGTTTTTGTTTCTGTTCTTTTTAATTTATTTTTACTCTTATTTTTTCGCTCCTAGGCCCAGCTGTGGGTCGATGACCTGTGCCCGGGTGGGCTATTCCCCGTAAAAAAATAAAAATGTAAATGAATCAATAACCTCTGCAAACAACAAGTGTGTAAAGTACATAAATTAAAGTTTGAGGATGTAGCCTTTTGGCCGAAAAAGAAAGGAAGGACAATCATAACAATCACTATAGAGTCCCTCTCTTTCCGCCAAGTATCACTTTGAAGCATAAAAAGGAATGATTGGTGAATAGATAGATGGATTTTCAGTAAAAATCTATATGCTCTTTGGTTCAGCATATACAAAGAATACTGTATATACACAACTTTGTAAACAGTAAGTCGATTTGTTCTGCCCCCTGCTCTTCCGCTATGGCTATTAGTTAAGACAGTGCTGGAGTGGCTGCCAAGTGCGGGGAGGGAATCAATACAGACACAGTGACCTGTTGCGCTCCGTTTGCCGCCTCCTTACAACAGGTAATCACACCCCGGAGCGTGCCATGTTACTTATTTAAACACCAATATGTATCGCTCGCTGATGCAAATTTCGGTTATATAAAAATGGTGTTTTGATAAAATGTACCTTTAATGAATACGAAGATTTTTTTTAACTAGATTAGCTTCGTTGAGGAACGAAAACAGGTGTCTTTAATCTGCCGTTATATTCCGTAAACTCAATCGTTTCGTTGCCCCTGGTAACTGAACTGTCAGACACGGATACACATTGCTCCATGTTGTTGTTTTTTTATTATATAATCTGTATCGTTGATTGTTCAGTTTCTACGACAAACAACATTATTTCCCTTCAATACTGAAAGGATTTAAAATGATATTATCAGTAAGTTTACTGCATCGCTTTACAAAGTTTCCAACAGTTTCTACCTTCTTCGGTAGGTTTAGTTTGATGCAATAGAACTTAGGTAGGAACGCTAGGAATGTGAGGTTAGTGAACGGTACCACACGCTTATACATTATGTAAAATCAATATCCGTCATCGACCTGCCATCAGCAACAAAAATAAAAATCTAAACTCACCTCAACTGTGGAGAACGAAGTGTTATCAGATGAGTGCACTGGACTGGTGAAGGTTTATCTAGCTAAGATAAACATTGTTGACAGGTCACACAGCCAATATTGGTAGTATTTAAGATTGGGGTTGAGGTTGATAAGCGTGGATGTTAGTGGGTGGGAAAGGCGATTGGACTGTCGACAGCACAGTAATCCTTGCATGCAACAGGGCTGTGCTAGTCTTGCTGCCACTCATAAACCTCCACTACTTCACCAAGATTTTGACACATTGTTGTCCCTACTTTATTCTTCTTTCTCGAAAATACAACGTCTAACTCATCGAATTAAATTGGAAATTTACAAAAGTTAGCAAGAAAATATTGGAAGTGAGAGCGAAAACCTTTGGTTGATTCTAAGGGAGGTTTAGGTCGGTGGATGTCGATAGGTTGAGTCAGTTTGGGGCGAGTCCCGGGGAAGATGGCGACGTCTGTGTTGACTCCCGTCAAGACCGAGGACCAGATCCTCTATAACTCCATGCTGGAAGATGACCCCAACGACAACTCCGCCACAAATGAAGAGGAGAAGACTAAACCTCGGTGGGGGCCATACCATAAGGGCGCCAAGGAGCTTGCTGGATTATACAGTAGAGGTGAGAGGAAGGAAGTTTACCAGGCTGGTTTACGGTATTGTTTGTGGGTGTAGCCGTCACTAGTCCTTCACAAACACCAACATTAACCTAACCACAATTCTTAGTTATTCTGTAAACTAAGGCATCGGGAACACATTTATTATTATTTATTAAAACAAACATAGAGACTCGCAAGGGAGCCGATCGGGGAACTACAGTGACACGCTTAGTTTTAATCGTAAATATCATTGTAAGTAGAATAATGCAGCATATAATGACGACGTGGATTTAATACTCGGTGAATACTTTGTGTATCGGAAGTGTTGTAGAAACATTACTTCATGCAGAAACAAGTGAATGGTGTCTGCCCTTGACAGACATAACTTGTACTTTCTCCTAAAAGTCAAAGGGTAAAATATGAATTCTTCCTTGATCAGTATTTGAATCCATGCCATGAGTAATATGTGAAAAGTAGAGGAGGCGGGGGTTATTTACGAAATAAATAACCCATTGCAGTTGAATGTATAGTGTACTGTATTCTTAAAGTTGGCAAATAGTGCAGTCAGACATGGAAATTACTTTTAAAGATTCAATTCTGATACACTATATCAAGACTTGTATTTTCCTGATACACTGTACCTCTATTTAATGCCCAAATTCTGTTCAGAGAGTGTTTGAAGTTGGTGTAATTTTGTACTTTGGGGGTAAAGTTCAGGCTTAGCTGTGCACATATATTATAAATATTTTGATTGACTCATACTGTAGAGAAGTGGAGTGCCTTATTATGAAGAATTGATAACATATCTATATGTTGAGTTTTATTTTTGTGAGTTGAAATCATTAGTGAAGCAGCAAGTACACCACTGCCTCAGTTGCTATGTGACTCAGGTGAATGAAAAAATCATCACTTCATGTTGATGAAAAACAAAACAAAAACATATTGATTATTCGGTAAATATGTAGTAGTTGCCAACACCTAATTGACTTTTGAACTTGGATTTTTATAGTGTAAATCATGTTAAATACAAATATGACCTTCATTGCCGTCGGAAATGAACCATTGTTGAGATATTGAAAAAAAAAGTGGCAGTTCAAAAATGCAAAAACCTAACCTAATCCCAAGTGTGTAAGAAACTTACCTTAAGAGATATATACAGGAGGATAGAGTGATGCGACTTGAATGAGGAAGTGGTCTTCGTCAGTGTCCGTCTCTTACCACAGTACCATGCATGGTGATCTACATGGTGTTGACACTGAATTACATCATGGACACTTTACAGATGAAACAAAAACACCATGAGCCCTAAAAATGTCAATGTCTGTTGCTTCATTGCCCAAAATGAGCACAATACGCGCCAGTCTTTTACTTACTTTTATGCTCTTCACCAAATGATCGGCTCGTTAGCCGCTTGGGCGGTCAGTCACGTCTCTGTTACGCACTGTTGGCAAGTACTGGACTTGCACCGGCTCCTGAATGTACCTGAACCTGCTCCAGTGTTGGTCAAGTCTTGTCTTGAAAGAGCTCACACTCGGTGCCAATGTACATCCTTCTCACACAGACTCCATCTTCCAACTCCCAGCGAATCGAGACTTGCACTGATTGGCACACAGGTATTACGTCACATCGGCACTCCCGCTGATTGGCGCGCACGACTATGATTTTACAGCAACACTCGCGCCGATTGGCCGAATATTATAAAATAAAAGTTAAAATAACTTAAAAACTATAAATTTCTGACAAACTTTTAGACTAAATTAATTTAATTTTTTCCCTTTCTCCCCATATATGATTCAATATTCAGTTGGGTATTGGCAACTACTAAATGTTAACTGATTAGTTAGTCCATACAGTAGTACTTTTCTGGTAAAATTAGAAACATATATGAACCGGCTGGTTAATTCCAAGTTAACCAGGTTGGTACATTTATATTATATTGGGCTTTAGTAACAAAACCCAATTGAAGTTTCTTCTTTTATTGAAAAGTATTATTTGTATAATTCCTGAGTGTAGATCAACCGTAACTTCCACTATTAATGAGCGTGAAGAGAAAGGATGGCGGCTATGTAAATAGGCCGGATAATCAACGTCCGTTCGATGTAAGTTTGTGAGTGAGACTAGCAGTGAACGCTGGCTTATGCGCGTTGACATACAGTCAAATGAGCCGCGCCCCTTAAGGAAGCTACCGCTCACGTGATCTGGTCATGACAACTCATAGCCAGTGGAAAGTTACAGGGGGTGAATTTGAATATAAATCAAATGTAAAGAACCCATTTATATAATACTTCTGTTGATGAGACAGGGGCCATTACACCTACTGTAGTAGTCCAGTGTTGGCATGCTTTTATTTGGAGTAAATGCTTCACAGTACAGCTAGTCCTCGACTTACGACATACTCGACCTTCGACCACCCAGACACACGACCGCCTCAGTCGTACCAAAATTTTGTAAAATTACGTATTTTCGAGTCCCAACGTTAGTGATTGCGCTGTGTACTGACAAAAATCTTTTTTGTAATTCTCTTTAAAATGGTTGGCAAGCTTAAAAGTGAAAGTTTTGTGGTGCTGAGAAGAAAAAGAGACACCCATTTTAGATTTTCTATGTATTATTCAAGCATTTTCGACTTACGACCTGGATTTGAGTCCCTAACCCCGTCGTAAGTCGAGTCGAGGAGCAGCTGTATTGTATTGCAGACAAAGCTCCGTGATCATGCTAACAAGGCTTTAGATTCCTGAAGCCTCCAGCAGATATCCATAATGCTTGTGCTGTATAGCATACAACGTGAATCAGTCAAACCCGATCATGCTAAATACTAAAATTGGCCAAAAAGGACAATACGTGAACAAAAGGTAATTAATATTTGCTTAGAAAAAATATTGCAAGTTAGATTGGACTTTGATAATGATCTGAAAAATATATGATCTGTCATTTAAATAAAAGTTAGTTTAGGTAGAGTCCTTTAGGGGTAATTGTCTAGGACTTCACAGCTGCTTATTTTTCATTGAAAACTAATTTTTAAATGCCACAATTTCATTGTGCTTTGTAGTGGCTCTGTTATAGTTATGAAAAATGTGTTAAAAAGTGCTTATTTCTAAATTAAACCTAACCTAACCTTCGTTAAAAAAACAAGCAGCAGAAGTATTGTTAGAAGACCTCACCAACCCAACCAAAGAAACCTTCCTAGCTTTACCTCACTTCCTAGCTTTGAGGCTCAACCCTCCGGACCCCCTGGCATATTAAACAGAAAGAACTTACAGAACTATGATACGGCGTAGTTTTACCTTTTTTCCTTTTTTCTCTTTTTTTTTTTTTTTTTGTATGTGAGAGCAGCCTGTGTGGCTCATAGACATACACTGGTGACTGGTGTCGATCGGAGATGATTGGCTGCGTACCATTGCATCACACAGAGAAAGACAAAGTAGTGCGTGCCTCTTCTAATTATCTACCAATGAAAAGATTTCCATAAAAATTATCATCAGAACTCACTGATGAAATTATAGTGAAAATATATACATTATTATTTATTTGTTTGTTTGATAAATGACATGACAGAAGCTATACACTCCTCCATACAAAGTTTTGCAGATAATGCCAAGAAATTCAGGGAAATTAAGAACCAGGTGGACTGTGAAGGGCTATAGAAGTGAACACTGCTTCAGGGGTGGTCGAAAAAATTACTGTTAAGGCTCAATGTCGCAAAGGGCAAGAGGATGCACCTAGGTCCTACCAACAGTAAGGAGGCATATCACATGACCAAACGGGTCGCAGAAACAGCATTAACAGAGACTGAATGTGAAAAGGACCTGGGTGTACTGTATCATTTGTATGTTGACAATGGACTGAACTTCTCATGTGAACAAGCAAAAATCACTTCAGTCACAGAAACAGAGTACAGGTGCTCCTCTACTGAGACCATTCGACAAACAAACTTTCAGAGATACAAACATCATCATTGAGGGGGTTACCTTCCAGAGCAGGTGTTAAATTCCAGATAGAACAAACATTACCTAAGAGGAGAAGAGTAAGCCAGGATTTAAGGCTGTATTATAGGGCATAGCTGTACGGTACTAAACATCCATTTTCTTTTAAATTTTTACAATATGTTTGGTATCTACAGGAGTAAAGTTGGACTTGCAAACAATTTGACTTACGAACAAGCCTCAGGAACGAAACTCGTTCGTAAGTAGAGGAGCACCTGACCAGTGCACTGAATGATATTCTGTGTTTCAGTGATTTTGGCTGAACAATGACCTTCATTCTAACATTTTTTTTTTATCGTAGAAAGGGGGTTGGTCTTAATACATCATCGGTAAAGTGAAATATCGTAATTCCGGGAATACCTATAAACCTTATTCTCTCCTGGAGGGTTTAGGATATAATAACAGATATGAAAGTAAAAGAGATAAGAAGTTATAAACTTCCTGACCACAGGATGACAATGGGTGCTTTTTTCGCTTTAAGGGTGTACATCTTTCCAATCCTGGAGATTTTGTAGTACTACCTCATGTTTTTGCTGGCTTAGTACTGCATGCCCTTCAAATTTGCTTGGGTTAGGTTCTCAAAATGGCCGCGAATAACATTTGCTGACCGGGGAGAGGGCAGGGTACATATTTACATGTGTAAAAAGAAATGTATACTGTACAGCAACTCCCCGACTTACGACCTACTTGACCTACGACCACCCGCACTTACGACCTGCCTCAGTCCGTAACGACCATCCGCATATACGACCGCCGCAGTCAGTTCCAAAAAATTTTTCAAATGACGTGCTCATTTTCTATACCAAAACGTTTCCGTCCCGTACGAGAGCATCGCGTGGCTACAGCACCCACGCCATAGAGCGCTTAGTTGGTGTTTGGCTGTCGTTGTATCCACAACTGATCGCGCTGTGTACTGACATTATTTTCGTATCTAATTCACTTTAGAATGACTGGAAAGCGTACAAGTGAGAGTGATGGTGGTGCTCAGAAGAAAAGGAGACAGTCAATTACTTTTGAGACGAAAATGAAGATAATAGTGCAGC